CGCTCTAGGAAAACACGTGCTTTGCAGAACTGCAACGAACGAACCGTTGTGCAGTTTCACCGAAGCTCGTGCTCCGTTAATTTACTGCTAGGATATCCATTGCTACGAGATAGAAAGCAGAAACTAGGTTTTTCTCAGAAAGGAGGAAAAAAAATTTCATGGACACATGTCGAGTTGACGCTCCTTAGCCTTGTCCAAGCACCTTAGCAGAAGCCGGAGCGGACGTTTCGGTTATTTACGACCTAATTGGTTTGGCCTCGTAACAGACGTGGACTCACAAGAGAACAACATCCCGAATTTTGACTGTAAGCATTTTTAAGCATTAAAACTTCGTCTTGGGAGTTCTCTACGCACAGCTTCTTAGCGAGACGTCTGGGTCGTCGACAGTTTGTATATTTTCATGGATAGGCTGTGCGTGACGAATCGACCGAACGCATTGAAGGCTCGTCCACTTGGGAGTGCACCCCCCACTGTCTATCCTAAAAGACATTTTCCTGGTTGAAGGGACAGTGCGAGTCAGTCAAAACCAGCAACTTGTAGAGAGCAGTTCTGTTGGAAATATACACTCGTTATCTGTTAAATTCGTATCCGTTCATTTTGTGTCCAAACCTTATCCGTATTCGAACGCCCGCCATCCTGCATGACAATCGCCGATTTTTATACAACTCTGTGAGATTGTAGTTCTCATTAAAATATTTAATACGTATTTCTTTTTAGCTGCTCTCATCGACGTTGAAGGGGTAATAGCGGAGCGCCCAGTTCTTCTACCTGAACCGGGGCGCACTGCTGTCTTTAATTGCTTACTGCAACATTAATATGAACCGAATCACCCTACCGATAGACTTATTTTATGGAAAACACTTCATCGAATATGATAGTATTTATTTCGGATTTTAAAAATCACAACCTCGAGGTAAAATGTGCACAATAAGAATTTTGTTAATAATTTTTAGTATTGTAAAAATGATGTTTCCACCTCGAAGAAATTTATTCAGGAAGGCTGATACTTCTCGATTAAAACAGAAAGAGGAATCAACCAAATATGACAGATAGTTTCCGAGATATAAATTCATAAGTGCAATATGTACAATAAGTACATTATGTTTGATGTTTCCTTGTATTTAGTATCAGATGGAATACTTCAAAGCGTATAATTAAATACATGGAGCACTTTAACAGTTTCCAGATATTTCTGTTACGGTATGCGTTGTTGGTTGATCTTCAAATGGTTGAAACTCAGTCTGCATGTATACAAGTTCCCTGCGTCCTGTAGCGAAACGTCCGCTCCGGCCTCTGCTCAGGTGCTCGGACAAGGCTAAGCAGCGTCAACTCAACATGCGTCCGTGAAATTTTTTTTCCTGTTTCTCGAGAAAAACGTAATTTCTGCTTCCTATCTCGAAGCAATGGGTATCCTGGCAGTAAATTAACGGAGCCCACGCTTCAGTGAAACTGCACGACGGTTCGTTCGTTGCACTTCTGCAAAGCACGTGTTTTCCTAGAGCGCTGGTTTCTTTTTACCTAAATCTTGTTGCCGCGGTGGGAGTGAACTCACAATGTAACGATGGGAAACTACTTGGGGGTAGAAGAAGCCCTTTTGGAAAAAGTCTGTCAGTCGGTGATAGAGATGTTCAGTTCAAGAGAGTATTACGCAATGGTTTGGTGGTACGCACAGAATAACGGACATGCGCCTGCTGCTGTGCCAGCGTTTGGCTACGTGAAGCATTTGATAAATCGAAAACAATCGAGGCCACCAATTTTGCTAACGTAGGAACAACACGTTGGATTAAAAATACATTAAGTGATTGTGTCGGGTGATCAGTGTCAGTGACCGTGCAGTGAAGTGAATACATATTCGGTGGAATAACCCGGACGCACTTGACGTTACAACCCTTAACTTCGGCTGGTGAGGTATACCTGTGATCACCTGCGGACTAGGCGGTACCCTGCCTGGGTATGCACAGTTTTGCAAACTGCAGGTGAATTTCCGATAGGGTGAGTTCTAATCAATTTATTGCTGATTATTATTATTTTTTATTTAACGCAAGTTATGACTTATTTCCGGTGATACTTCTTCAAGTTTCTATACCTAAATTTTTCTTCGGGTTTTTTGAAGAAACTTATTCATTATCAATAACATTGTTGCCCGTTATTAAACTACGAATTTTTATACCAATACCGAACTATGATCACTTCTCGTTCATTCTCTGTTACATTACCTTTTCGTTAATACGTTATTTGAAAAGGAAATTTACGGATTCCTTAGCCCCTCTCTACAAATAATTATTAGTTTCCATACTGTTTAAAAAAAGTAAATGTGCATTCGTCTTTTTACGATACACATAATTTTCCTACATTCATGCTTCATTCATTAATCTCTTTAAATAACAAACGACAGATGATAAAATGTTACGTTTTTTTTATTTGCTATTGTACGCAGTTTCCTGCGATGTATGTCGACTTGCTTGCTCGGAGCTCCATAGTACAAGCGCAGCGCGTAGCCACTACTAGCGCGGGAACTCGGCTGGTAAACTCGCGCTCTGATTGGTCGTGGTTTTTAGTTAATATCTCGGTAACGAAGCCTCAGGTTACTTTTTTGTTAAAAAAAAAGTTGTTCCAATTCACCCCCTGAGTCTCCCATTTCCGGGTCGAGCAACATTTTTGTTACACCCTGTATATGTATTATCCCTTAGCGCTCCGTTGGCTCCGCTATGGAGACATCCAATATTTGTTTCGTAACTCCGGTGGCTCCGCTGCTGAGACATTCTATTTTTAACATAATTACGCTCAAGATGCTTTGTCATCGTATGCGTTGGCAATTGTTATCTGTAATTAAAACGTGCTACGTTTATAATATTGAGGTTAAATTATTTTATGACCTTTTTTTATGGTTAAAAGCATGGAGAAGAAAGAATGTTACGATGAGAATTTAGAGCTGAGTGATAGTGAAAATGCATTTGATTTTGAAGTATGAAAAGGTAATTTAAGTATTTTAACATCTCAAGACAATGTTGATTATGATTCCGGTACTTCAAGTAGTGGTAGCGAAATTAGGGGGACTTTTTCCAAAGAAATCACACCATGATGAATTACAAAATTTAAAATTTATGTTTTATTTACAAGGGGAAAATGCATATGCTTAAAATAGATAACACCAAATACATTCACAAGCACATGTAATTTTTCCACTCGAAATAAGACTTTCCTTTTCTCAGGCGCTTCGCTGCAAAAAATATGCCGGAGTTGCTGGTAGGCAGTGGTAGAAAAACGCGCGGAGTACAAGGGTTAAAGGTTAGCTTCAGTCACATACACAGAAACATAATTTTAATTTTTAACATTTCTCACTACAATATTGTTGAACCTTTATTTGGTATTACATCGAATACCTAAAATCAGGATACAACTGTACAGGTGGGCATTTTATATGCAAGAATAAGTTGAAAGAAAAGAATAACATTTTTCTAGTTAAGGCTTCGTTTTCGATGCCAAAAATGTGCTGGATACGCGTACAGTTGAATGGGACTATGTAGGCTTAGCGCGTCTGTTCATTGCATGTCGTTTCTACTTACTACCATGACGCATACACGCAATTCAGTTTAATCTTCAAATACCACTTCCTCGAAAACGAAAAGAGTTCATTTCTTTCGTTCGACCTATTTTTGTTTATAGAATCACCTCCCGGTCAGTTGTACTACAATTTTGGGAACACCCTATATTTCAGTTGAATTTTTAATTATGATTCTTCTTTCATTCGTTCAACCTCAAGGTCACAAATTCTTTCTTGACACTTTTATCACAGAGTTAATGAAAAAAATTATACGTTATGGTCTATATTTTAGCGAAGTATAAGTTATAAAAAACTAATGTAATTATCGAAAACTTCTAACGTCCAAGAAGCTAAAGTTTTATTGAACTTACACGCATGCTTTGTGTTACTTTACTTCAAAAATATTAATCTCTTCATGGACGAAATTATTAGAACCAGAAAGAATATTTTATTTATTCATCCGCTGTATTTAATTAAAGCATATTTATAAATATTAACGACAGTCAATTGGTAGAATATTCTGTTTTTCTGAGGAATTTCCTGGTGACAATTTAATTACAGTTCCAGAATAATGCTTGAAGAAAGACAAATTGAACGTACACATATGTACGTCCCAGTATCCCTGAAGAGGTTAAGAGAAAGTACACAAAATCTGTTATCGATTATGAATATATTATGAAAATGATACAACACTTTAGACACTAAATAATATATATAAATGCTTCCACGTGAGATATCAGATTATAAAAAAAAAAAGATACTTTATCGTTTAGTAGAGTACCGATAACAATCACTTAAGAAACGAAAAATTAGAATACCGCATCGTCACGATGATAGTAATACAATCCCGCTTCTTTCGTCATCACCGTTTCCCATCGCATGAGCAAGCTACGATTAAATTCTCGAATCCTGTTCCGCCTGGCATTACGGGAGCCGAGAACTTTCTCGTTGGGGGAATTTCATTCGATCTCCCGGCTGCTCGTCCCGCCGCTTGTGTGTACGATAGGGCAACAGAGACATAATTAATCGACCCATGGAACGAACGTAATCGCACGCGACACTTTCCCGGAAACGGACACACCGTGGAACCCGAGCAAAGATGCAATCCCGATGGGCGTGCGATTGCAACCGGTGTAAACGCTAATGCCACGTATTTGATGGGTGGGAGGAGGGGGAGGGTGGGTACTGCCTACTGTGCTCCAAACTGTATGGTGCATCGTCGTGTTGTGTTGTGCATGAGACGCGCGCGCACGCAATGCGTAAAACCGGTGGAATCCCGTACTTACGATCAGCCGCCGCGGTCGCCGCCACCGCCACTGGAGATCTCGTTACTTTCTAAAGCCCCCCCCCCCCCCGGGAATCGGACCACGCGAGAACTGGCGGGAAGAACGGTTTTACTGATTTTTCACCACTGACGTGTCTGAATGTTATATCACAAACCACGGGAGCGCGGGAGATGGCGGTCAGTGTCGTGAGATATCTGCTTCTCGTCCCCCTGGCTCTGCTGCAGTACCGTAAGTAGACATACACATACACATACACACATAACCTCATGCCGGTTATCGGACCACCGACACTTTCTGTACGTCTTTCGGTACGTTTTCATGTGACAGTAAGTCTTGACTACAAAAGCCGTGAGACTTTTACCGTCACATGAAAACGTACCTCCTGTTCGCTCGATTTTTCGCCACCGGTGTGTCGTTGGTCATACGCGGGTCGTCTGAAGGTTTTCAAACTAAGTCGCGATCTGCTCGCTAGCCATGTAATATTGTCTCTCCGATTTATGGTTACGTTTGGATTGATAAGTGGTGTGCGGTTTAAGTGAAGGAAGTGGAGAAGTGAAGGTTTAAAACTCGTGTTTCGATAATTATCGAATGTTTTTAGTGTCGAATGGTGCCGTTTCATCGGTAGCCTTTATTGTGGATAATGTTTTGGTACTTTTGGTGAGGAAGTGGATTGGACGAGTCCGTTTAAATGATGTTGTGCTCATTTTCTGCTTCTGTATTTATTTAGTTTGACAGTGTACCTATTAATATCATAGCGCTCAATGAATCGTGTTGCTACTAGGGCTGGTGATGTACAATATTTATAACAATGGTAATACCACCCTTGTTCACTAGGTATGCACAAGTAAAATACAGTAACGGACAAAAGAGTTACCATCTTTTCGATTTGTTTGATGTTTATTATTTTTTAACGTCAAGTTAAAACTTCAATATGTGTTTAATGTATATTCTGGTAGAGAATTAAAAGCTGTATGAAACCCAGTATATTATGGGTTTAAGTTGATTTCATGCACAATAATGTCATACTATGTGCTTCATTTATTTGCAATCTACAAAAAATAATCTCCAAATTGAAATAGTAACTTATTTCAATAGTCCACAAATATATTCTGCTATATTTTTTAAATAAAATATGAATTATTAAATACATATTACTTTACTCCTCATTAGAAAAGAAAATAGAGAAAAAGGTATTTATTACGAGATTTCACAGGCTCATAGTACAGTGTGTCACGTACCGAGTACAAACCAATACTTACCTTTAACAAATCCAGAGATGATTGTATAAATACTTATCCCATAATAAGTACCTTTCAGACGAACATATATCAGCATGCCATCAACGTGTCAGATCGACATTATAACAGAAAATGTGAAAATTGTGTAGAAAGTAGAGCCATCAAAAGTTAAATTTTCAATACTTCATGAATAGTCTGTTAATAATATTGAAAACCACTTGTTTTGCCCTCACGGAGTATATACGGCGAGTCATGTAAATCGCTGCTCGCCAATATCCTCGGAACCATTGGTAATACGAACAAATGTTCCAGACAAAGGTTGAATAGTTTCAACGGAGAAATAATTTGATGAGACTTTTCTTTATATGTGAATATTATACAATGAAGGTGACATTGTTTTTTTTAATAGGATCATGTATTTTTTAATGCATTATATAGTTGATTTAGTTCGGCTTTCCCTATGAAAAAATATGAAACTATTTACGCTAAGAAACCATTAGTTTAGGAGATATTTTAATTTTAATTTCGATATAGCAAGTGCACGTGGCATTTGACATCTTATGTTTGTGTGGATAGTATGTCAACGAATTTCGAAACAAATGCTAGAAAGGGTTGATAGGTCATTTAGAGACCGAGTAAATCTCTGCATTTAGGCCGAAAGACGTAATTTTCAACATCAACTTTAAGAAGACAAACATGGTATTTCTGTGTAATACCACTTCGCAGTTTGTTAATTAAAATTTCTCCTGAATTAATGATTTATTGGCATAAATAACTTCACACGTTTTTTCTAGAGAGTATCGACCTGTATCGACTAGTGCATTAAAAAATACATGTTTCCATTTAACAAAAAAAACAAATTTAACCTTCATATCTTCTCTACCCGTCGAACTACAAAAAAAATTACGTGAAATGATTTCTTCCTTGAAACCATTCAATTTCTATCTGAAACATTTTTTTACGTCGTTAATGATTTCGAAGGTATTCGCATGTATCGATTTACATGACTTACCCTGTATACATTGGCTAAACTCCAAGTAGAAAAACAGCACGTGTACTCGTTCGTCACTGAAACGCATCGCGTGAAGTCTCGTCTACATCTAGCGAAAAAGTATGAATGAATTCACGGGGATGGAATCCATCACTTCTGGTGAATTAAAGAGATCATACTTTCCGCCCTCTGAATTACGTAATTCGTATAGTAGATAACACATTTAATTATACAGTAGTATAGACAGCATTTTTATACAGAAACGAAGTGTTATATCGTGTCACGTGAAATAGTCTGAAACCCTTTTTGAACGTTTTGACTTTTCTGCAAGAGTTCTCTTCATATAGTATGCTTAGTGAATTCGTTGTACCGCTGTGTGTGCAATCGCTTAGTTGCATATTTGGGATAGATTAATTAACACGTTGACTACCACAGTAAAACAGGCCGTACGTAGCCAGAGACATTTTATTCCGTTTTTCAAGTCATAAATCGTCGAAAATGTATGCGTTCAGTTAACTATAGAACTACCAGCAGTGAATATATATTAAATTAACATTTAAAATTTAGTAATATACATAATATGTACATAATACAGTCTAGCGTACTACAGTCTCATATGAAATGTATACTAAATCAGAAGTCAATAATAAATTCCCTAAAAAGCATTATTATAACTTCAGTGATTGTAAAATAAGAAACCTGCAATCCGGCATTTTGACGGGTTTGGCAGTTTGAGTGTTAATAGAGACTGTTGACCTTGTTTTACATTATATTGCGATATGAATTTTACGCAAAAATTTGGTTACGGTATTTAAATAATCCAGCCTTTTTGCAATATACGTATCACCTATACTTGGGTGACGTCACAGTCAAAGTGTTTAAATGTGTTCAATGAGGCTTTTAACTCACATATATCGTAAATGATTGCCTTTCCCTTAGGAATAATGAGGAAGTGAGTGAAATTCACGTGACCAACTCTTAATTCATTTCAGATGAGTTATGATCGTTCCAAGATCGCAAACAGTGCTAGACTAACATTGAAGACACGCCTTTGGACTTTGTGTTGAGATTTTCACTTTTCCACTCCCTGTTCATGATTCCATTACCAAACGAAAATGATTGTTGAAATTAAATGACCAAATAACGTTACCGTATCTTCTGCAAAGGAGATAAAATGTACATACGTCCATCTTATGGAATAAGTTTGATCCGTGTTATAAAGCTATTGGAAAGAAATTATGCTTTAGATGATTTGATTTTCACTGACTGCAATGTGAAAAAGGTAGAAATTTCTATGTTAAAAGAGAATTGCGCCACCTTTCTATTTCGTTCATAGTACTAGAGTGATTCATAATTAATAATTATTAATCATTGATACACTCTGCAGTGATGATGATCTTCGCATTCTGACAGAATCTCTAAGTTGACAAACTTAGATCTCGCGATACAATTAGTTACCATTGTATCTGCCCTTTCGAACTAGCGCTAATTCATGTGTATTACATATTCTTTTCTGTGTTGCAAGTGCCCCTAAATGATACAAACAAAATAGACTAATACGTAATATTTATGATCCAATATTTATGACACACCCTAGTATTTTGCTAAACGATAACTGAAAACAGTTGTCGGATAGAATATGAACGAGCATAGAGAAACTCGTATGCATTTATTCGTGTGCATTTACGTTCTTGGCTTGTGGTTTGTTCGCTAGGTGTAGACGAGACTTCACGCTTAGCTTCAAAAAACGCTTGTACATTGCAAGCCGTAATGAAACACTTTCCAGTTAATTCTCATTATAACGGCGCAAGGCAACTGAGAAGAAAAATCAAAGGGAACGACAAACGACGAGACAAACGACCTTCACCTGTTTTCCTAGTTTCTCATAACGGTCCAATAGCTTTCAGTCCAAGAGACGCGTAACGTTGATTACATACGGTTGATCTTGGACGATGAACGGATTTCCATTGAGAAAGTCACGGATCGTCTAGGCACTCAACTAGGCAGAGAATCAGGTGTGAGAGTAACGTTAATTAGCCGTGTATATTTTCGTAGACGATGTAAGTGCGGATACCAAAACGTTCAAGGATCTGTTCAACAGTACATCCTGCGCGAAGCCGCCCTACGAATGTCCACATCCACAAATTGAATTTTATTTATATACAAGGTAAGTCCATTGACGGTTAAAGCTTCTATGCTTGTTCTTAGCCCTCTTAACCTTCAGACACCACACTACTGCGAATTTGCACAGACGAAACATTGCTTCGTCTGTAACATATTTGGCTAGTACAGTAAATCGTCGATGAGTGTCCGAAGGCTCATGTGGTGTCATATGTGGCTGAAACAAATATCATTGGCTTCAAAATTCCAAGCTCTATCACTAATCCTCATTAAAAAGTCAGTTACATCTAGGGAACTTTCCTTGTCAGTACCGAGGAGCCTTCGAACACTTAGCCAGCATTTACTGTATAACGGTTTCGAATTTTTATAGTTAAAAAAGTATTTTTCACTTATGCAATTATTACCATTGAATTTCTGAGGACATTTTACTCGAAAAAATATGTTATGAGTTCAATTAGCTTTTATTCTGTTCAGGTCCTAAATCATCAAAAATTCAAAATCCCCATTCCCACTATTGTGGTGTTTACGTATATTCTAAGGTGGAGAGTGCTTTCTGAGGGTTAATACGTGTTTTTCGGTTTTTGTTATTTAATCATCGGCCAGCGGACACCGGATCATTAAAACCCAAGCACACGTTAAGTCTGTCTTATCATCGAATCCAAGCCACGTGTGTACTGTATTGCGATCATGATAGTTTCGTCTGATCTTACACTGTTGACTCGTCCTTCGAAAAAGCGACTTCAGTTTTATATCAGTGATTGCACAGTCAACACCGACAATTCTTCGGCCAACACAGTTTTTACGATCCCATAAAGGAAAATACATGCCGCGAATGTTTGCAACGTATCTGTGATATTTATGGAGAAAATTGAATAAGTATTTAATGTTGTATATTCAGTGTATAGATTCAGAGTTCGTTTTTCTTACCTTGTATCATTACATGTAGGCTCCAATTTTTAAGAATTATCGAAAATTATGTTAGCATTGCTTTTTTCGGAAACGAAGATTGTGAAATATAGTCACTTACATGGTGTCAGTGAAAGATACCGAGATTTCCTTCCGAAATAAGTCGAACGGTAATATCACTTTGCGTCATAATTGACTCGCCGTCCGAGGTGCATGTGACTGTTTCATAATCCGCGGTCTGAAGGTTAAATGACAACTGAAATAATATGTTTATAAAAAACAGTGCAAATTGATAAAATTAGTTGTTTAATACATTAATTAGCAAGTCGACTGATAAATTCATCTGAATCAACATCAAAACCTACGGAAAATTCTGTGCTTTTCTGTTCAGGAAGCCAAGTATCGCATGTTAACGAAATCATTGTTTATCCAATTTCATGAAAATTACACTATTAGAGAAAGTTATTTTTAAGTGTGTTACAGATCAGTTTAATTTACGATATAAATAAAATGCAAACATTTACTAGATATACGAAATAGTTTAATTGGCTATCTTAAAAAAGAAATAAGGAGTTTCTGTGGGATTCAATGCATGGTTTGAATCTAATATAGAAAATACGTTTTTTTATTGTAATTGTAACAATATCGATAATCCTTTTTTCACATTACGGTTAATTTGTATATTATATTCAAATATTAGTAAAACAATTAGAATTAAAGAAACAAGAAATACTGGCTGGGAAACATTTTATGAAATAAGAGCTTCAATTAGTGTGAGTGTAATTGTGATTACAAAAGTTTACAAGAATAATTTTGGCCTATACAGCTATGGAAAATTAATACAGATTTAATCTAAAATACTTAGCACAAATTTCTAAAATTATTTTCAAAAAAACACATTTACCTACAGTACTGGACAAAACTACGTGTATAGCAACTTGAGCGTAGTACATAATTCTTTGAAAATTAACTCCTTTACCATTTTCTATATTAATTAACGAAAAGTATGATTTTCCTTAAATGTATTTTCTTAAATAATAGTGATCTTAATAAAATTCATACCCTTCATTAATGAGTATGGAAAATTGTAAAGAATGTGATCTCCGCCGCATTATTACGGCCAAGTTGTTATAATTTTATCCGGTACTATCCAAGAAATGTGAAGAAAATGTATAGATAATCAAAATTGTATTGAAGAGTACGTAAGCTGCAATAACTATAGTAATTTTCTCCATACATCTCAAATTACACTATATCGAGAAAAGCGATCTTCAATTTGATGAGATGCGTTAGTATAAATTGCAAAGATTCATACGAGGAAACATGTAATAGGGAAATACATATTAAGAAAATATTTATATTTCACGAAATAATGGTAGTTAAGAGAAAGTTTGAAATTCATATTTTTTTGTGTGTAAAAATATTTTATCCTTAAAAATATTATTTTAAAAAATTGTATTGCATCTAAAACAAACGTTTCTTTTCATTGATAAAATACTTGTCGCAAATAATTATAAAAGCAAATTTACATGTGAAACAATAATAATATTTAATAATAAGTATACAAAAACTGTCTTCATTATACGTAGGTATATCTACATTATTTGTAATTGTTTAAATAAAAATTATGTTAATGGCAGTTTTCATTAATCTTATATTAAGTTCAAACTTACGTACTCCTTTTTATAGATACTTTCGCTACGTTATATCTTCATGATATGTTGGCTATCAACGGAAAATTAATTTCCGTATTGTATCATTAAAATAAGTTTTTATCACTGTCTTCTTTTTTACCTTCTTTTGATTAGTACTGTCAATCAGAGCTGGGCAAATTCTTATTTAAATAAAAGTTTCAAATAAAAAATGAAAGATAAACAAATTACTCGACGCATGACAAATCATTTTTTTATTCGATGAGAGTTTATTCGTCGAATAAAGATAATTTTTTTATTGGATGAGAATTTATCTTCAGTATCGAATAAAGATTTCATGTTTATTTGTATCTTTATTCAACGTCAAATAATTTTCTGAACGCTATCGAGCCACGCCACTGAGGACCGGGGAGTCCAAAAATGGTACGCGCGTTGCAATGTAGTATGTATTTCAATTCTGCAAAGCCTTATCAAAAAGTTCGAGGACTATTATGTATGAATCATTTATTATTAACCTATGACTGGGCACATGGGATTTAATAGACCTCAGCCAGCTTTAAACGTTTATAACATTGTTATTTCAATCGTGTTTTATTTGGCATAACTAAGTTTATGTTATTAAATTATAAGAATAGCGATGATTCTAATTTTTGTTAACTAAAAAGTACCTACACTTGTACGTTCTGTTTGTTTTTCAGAAATTGAGAATAAAAATAATATATTATGTTTTACTTTTAATTTAAAAAACATAACTTTGTACATACCAATCATAACGGACGCCCGCAATAACAATAGTAATGTAGATTCTAGACATTTTTCATATGCACTAAATCCTAATTGAGTGTTTGAAGGCTCCTAGGTACTGAACATTAAATATTTCATAAACTAATGATCATATGCGGCTGAAACAGATACCATTGGCTTCAGAATTCCAAGCTCTATTACTGTGCTAAACCTCATGAAAATATCGGCATTACACCTGGGGACCTCTTGTTGTAAGTGGGCGGGGCCCCTCGGACACTCATACAAGATGTACCATGTGATACTAAGCAACGTGACCAGCCAAAGGTTACTTTTAACAATAATTAACATACGGTCACCTTCAAAGTAATCTCTTTCTCCCCTTATACATTTTTTAAATCTTTTTTTCAGTTCTCGAAAACGAACGTCGGAATCATATCTAACTCCTCCTGCGTTATCTTAATTATTGTCTCTGGCGTGGCAAAACGTCGGCCCTGTAGCACCTGTTTAAGACAGGGGAAACAGATGAAAATTCCATAAAATTAATCATAACTGGGCACCAGACATGGGTCTACGGTTACGATGTCGTGACGAAGCAGCAATCGAGTCAGTGGGTTTCACATTTTAAGCGACACATGCGCGCTTTCTACTGACGTGGGGCCACCTTTCTTCACCCACTCAGTTTCGTCCCCAGTTATAATTAATCTTAAGAAATCTTCATACTTCTCCCTCGTCTTAAACGGGCGCTGAAACAACTTACATTTCGCCACGTTAGGGTCAATAATTCAAAATATCGGGAAAGGAGCTAGCCTTGATTTCTGAAAACTGGAAAAAAGATTTTAAAGTTCTCTAAAGGCATAAGGAGAATTACCTTGTGATCCTATGAAATTATCGTTCAGATTAATAATAAATGATTTATACACAAATTCCTCGACCTTTTTGATCAGACCATGTATGTGACGATTTTCAGTATATCAAAATTCTATATGTATATCACTTTTACGGATGTAGTATCACGTCAAAGTTCCACGCACACAACACGTCGTTCAATGCATCCGACTTTCGGAAAGAAGTTTTCATTTCTTTTGCGTCAGCTCGACGTTTGTTCTTCACTTTCCTTCGGCGCCACGAGAGGCTTCACAGCGAACTAGAACGGCTCAAGGAAGAACATCGACGTAAGACTCTCGGTTTCAAGATCATGATCATTTCGACTTGTACTGAAAGCGGCCTCGTTTCGTGGTTCACCTTTCTCCTATAGCTATAGCCCAGTCGTTTTGGCGTGCCACGGATACTTTTACCTGGATGCTCGCGGGCTCGCCGTCCCCTTCCTCGTCGAACTTGTTGATCTCAACATATCAACTCTTGGAAATGTTGCTTATCGAAAGTGACGAGAAACCAGTTAAAATAAATCATGTACACCCGAGGTTTCTTGTGTTTTTGTTGTACGATTTTATGGTCACTGATACGTAACGGTGATCAAAAGAATGTTTAAAAGACTACATGTCACGGTGATAAGAGTAATCCGATAAACACACAATATGTTTTGTATTAATACTTCTAACGTGGACAGTTTCATTTTCGTCAAGCATTTTATCAGTAAAGAAACAAACATCTGTTATGAACAGCAAGAGGATTCAATAGAAAAGATCGTATGTGGGTGGTTAAATTATGTTTAAACTACTATTTTATTATTACATTTGTAACATTTCAGCAATGTAAGAATAACTTTTCTGACACCTATGTACGTGGTAGAATCAGTCATTATTGCTCAATGATGCTTCAATGTTACTACCAGAAAAGTCATTCTGACGTTCTTCAAACATTAGAAATGCAGTAATAATATTTTGGTTTATTTTTTAACCAGTCTCGAATACATAAACGTAATAATTACAATCTAGTATGAAGTGGTTAATGCGTTCTGTTTCCAATCATATTTCTCAAAAATTCTTTATTTTGTCGAATTGTGCTTATGTGCGTATTCTGTTATTTGTATGTGTGCCACATACGTGTGTCTGGGCGTATCTTAAAGCAGAATTGGGAAATTTAAATAAAGAATATTTTATGAAATTAATAAATAGAATGCCTAAAATTTGTTTGGAAGTTAGTCAAAATAATGGTGGTCATTTTGATAAGTCAAACATTTGATAAAAATACATTTGTTTGTAAGTAAAAAACAAAGAAACTATAAGTATCTGTATACATATATATAAACCTTTGACTGGAATAAAAAATCTGTGATCTGCCTTTTGATGATTTTATTTAACAGATTCCAAATATTTGAACGGTTGTGTTTGTTTCAAGAACAATAAAATTCTTTTTAAGTAAATGATATTGTACAATTAATAGACGGTTTCTAAGAGAAATATTACCTTACAATTAATATATACTGGTATAGTTGAGTCAGTCTGAACGATAAATGTATGGATAACTTTGAAACACGTCTTAACCCCATCACTAATCCCATTTCACTTTATCGATAATCAGAGAGGAGAGTGCACACTTTCTATCTGCAGTAACGTTTTCGTTTCCTTGCTTCTTTTCAGAGACACGCAAAAGAAACCATTACGCTTAGACGTTCGAAGATTCGAGTCCCTTCATTATTCCAGATTTAACAAGTCGCATCCTACAAAAATCATTATTCATGGTTTCGGCGGCGGAAGGAACTTAATACCTAGTCCAGACATTCGGAAAGGTAATTTTCAAATGAACAGATTGATTATATCGGTTTTCTAGGCGTGTAATTAAGTACCGGACTAATAAACAAAGATAGTAGTCAAGTCGTATATGTACAAAATTGGAGAACGTAATTCAATTTTTAACCCTTTAACCACGGCTGCGTCGTATAGTGATATAAACAGTGAAATTATGGTAGTGAAATAGAGAATGACCCAAATAGTGATAAGGAAACTATTTATTATCTACTATTATTATTACCTACTTATTATTTTAATTTGTTACACTTATTGACCTACTTTTTTCGTTTGGATGGCCAGTTTCGTTAATATGTGTCCGTAGTTCAAGGGTTAAACACTTATACCAGTGGAGGTGAATTTTCGCTTCTTAATAACACTACAGTTAATTCTCATTGAATTTTATATAATTCATTTGAAACAAATGGAGTACATTGTATAAATAGTATACATAAATACTTACATCAGTTTACAGGTATCTAATGTTAACGATGCATTTATAATAATTAAAGAATTCTATTACCTAACATATTTGCTACCTAATACTAAAATATGAATCTTAATGTAATAGTAATATCCATATTCCTCAATTAGCAATTACACAATTATTCAAAATTTTTTCATTAAGAAATGTGATACTTATTACATTTACTATATTTCAAAAATTCATTTGTATAACATGTTGATTCAATATTACAAAATAATATATATACTTGCATGGTGAATTGCGATCATGAAAAAAATGAAAGAAAAAGAATGGTATAATTTTATGCAACTGGAGTAGATCAGTTATACATTCATTCAATGTGTTGTACTTCGTTGGAATATAGCGCGAGAATAAATTTGCCATCTAGAATCTAGAAATAATGAAATACCTTTGTGCAAGCATGTGTACTACTTGACTTCTGACATGAATTGTAGCAAGATGGATATTCTAGTAACCTGCATTTACATATCCTCGCAAAAAGTGCTGAACATGATCACTTTGTGTTTTTATGCGAGTGTATACATACACGTTTTGCAGTTGATCAGTATAAAAATCGTGTATCTAGAAAAATATATTTCGCATTAATTTTTTCTGATGGTTGACCTAGAGAAGAACGAAATGAGGAAAAAAGAAAGGATTAACAATCAGATCGGTAAACAGAATTTTTACTATTCGTTAAAGTAGCTCACTACAATCAATCAAGCGTCAACATACATATTCTTCATGAGTAGATGTCTATGTTGATGACCATGTAACGTGGCTTTTGAAGAATGGGCTTCGACTCAGGCTACATCAGAACTGTTATAAATTCTTAAGACAGCAATATCTATTGCATCAGATAGTTTTAACAACTGTTACCAATATCTTAGAATTGTTAAAAGTGTTCGATGTACGAACTGGTAAAAATATAGTCAACGAATATCTTTGACTGAAGTCATAGTGACAATCAAGTGGCCAATGTGAGGATTATATTGTATATATGTATATACACTGTACAAAGAACATTGCAATTTTACTTAGAATTAATATTGTCTTGGTTATTTATTTAATATTATTTAGAGCGGCTAACACGTGCAGAGACATTTCTTATTAGAGCTTAATTAGTGCGCATTTTTATACAGGTCCAGTAAAGATTTTTGTGTTTTATTGTTATAAAAAGTATACGATTCAAGGCAGTTATGTAACTAATTTACCTACCACAAGTTTTTCAAGCATCTATGAAATAAGAATGTTTACAGTTTGATAGAGTTTTTTAAAAAATATTTAGTAGTTTTTTAAAATTCAAGAAATATTTATTGATTTTTTTTCGGAAACAAGTCTCTATATTCAAACATGCTTAAAATTTATATTTTATAATATTTTAAAAAAGGTCCGACAGGCGATCGTGACATCCTCAATGGAGAAACGATACCACGATGATACCATCAATGATCTCTTATTCTTTCTCAAGAAACGTATGGTCTCAGCTCACCCAAAATAAGATACCACCTTAACGAATAGTAAAAATCTAGTTTTTATTGTACACATTTCAGATATTTTGAAAGTACTACTGCAATTTATAATAATTCTTGAAAGATTTTCATTATTCTGAAGGGCTAGAGATCTGCTGAATCCCCGTGGATAAATCAAAATTTACCAAAAATCCAAATATAAAAAATATATCGAATATTCTTGGATTGTATATCTCTGTGCCCGATTTGATTAAAATTCCAGCATGTCGATTACGTGATATCCCTAATGATAGATACATACACGTCTAATTAACAGTTTTACCAACTTTAACGTTCTACAGCCTGTCTGTTTTAGTTCGACCCGTTGAAATATATCGCGTAAAGAACTGAAGGTCCAAAAAAATGTTCTTACAAATGTTGTTTGGTACGAAGGGGTACATATAATGTGGTATGAATATCTTTTTTGTAGGTAGAATAGTTGTAGAAATTTCAAGGTTAAATTAATATTGTTTTAATGGAATTATATATTTTTTGCTCATAATATGATAGGTTTTGTTGAGACATGTTCAACGATGTGCTGCATAAGGTCATTGGGTGTAGATAGTAGGAGTTGAGTTGTCGGATCACTGGTCAGTAGACACCTGCAATTACGTGGATCCGACGCTGGCATTTGAATTTCAATAATTTACAACCTCCTACCACACTTAACCTCTTGCGTTACGATTTTGTTTATGAGTTTGCACACCATAGTTACATTTTTTACGTGTAACATAATTATAAAATAGTGTTTCACTTCGATTAAAAGAAAATTGATAATATTAATATTTCCTAAATTCAGTTTAAAGTCGTCAGGGCGAGTTTGACTCGTCATTATAAGGCAAGGTGTTAATTATGTCACAAATCGTTGAACTCGTTTTAACAAACTCTATCATATTATGAGTAAAGAAATAGAGCATTCGATTAAAAAACAATGAACTTAACCTTGACATCTCGCCCACTACTTTTACCTACAAAAAGTTATTTTAACCCCATTATATGTCCCCCTTGTTTTTTTTCTCAGAACATTTTTTTGCTACTTTTAGTTCCTTACGAGATATATTCCGCAGGGTGCAATTAAAACAGAAACCCTGTACAGTAATTGACACGATCTGATTCTCAAGGTAACAATTACTTTTAAGCGTTCGCAACAATTTAAAGGTAATAATACTGTCCAACAAATTTTATCCTTGGTTCTTTTTTACAATATCCACTGGGTGATCCTTATAGAGTATAGAGTTTTTCATTCTAAACACGAATCCGCAAGTAGAATTGCTCTACCGCCCAATTTTAAATAGTTGTAACTGGACGCCACAGTTTAAAAAAAATCGCTGCACGTACTTTCGATGCACTATTTTTGCATTTTTACGAAAAGTTCTTTATGCAGTACGAATTCGCTACACAGTAGCGCTAAGACTTAGTTTATCACGTAGTAGTGAGTATTTAATAGTGTCGTGTACGTTCTCTTTATAAATAGTGCAAATTAATTATTGTTGATTTTATTAAATATTGTAGGTTTTATTAATTATTGCGTGTTAAAAATTAGTATAAATAGTGGTTATAAATTAATTATTTTGGGTGTTAGTTTTGTGTAACGTGTAGAATGTTGACCCAAACTGCTTGCGGGTCTAATTAATCGCGCAGTGTGTGGACTTATTCGCGGACGGGACAATCGCGCAGTGTGTGCGGACAGTTTTCGCGGACTTCTGTGGTGTACGTGCATATGCGGATTAATTTCATGGATACTCGTGAACAGGACAATTGTTATACGTCACAACTAGAAGGAGCATTAACCCTCTGTACTCGATAATATTCGTAAGAAGGTATTTACATTTCTTGCGAATTTTATCGAGCAATCAAAATTAATGCGATACAAGTGGATTAGACTCAAATACCGCGGGCACAAGTTATCGACATCTTCTACTGGGTAAGTAGACAGTTGTTCTACCGACTTTTCCTGCACGTCGTTGAGTCTTTAAAGTGACTGTACGCCCCGTGGGAGCCGTGATCCGCTGACACACCGTGCGCGCGGATTGCCATCATTTGGGGCAATTTTTACACGGTTATAACTAATAAAACGAAGCAATTGTCGCAATATCGTTATTCTTGATTTTCGTCTTATTTTGCTTCAAAAAATCACCCCTTAAATTTTTTCCACTAGTAGTCGAGCACCCTGTATATTATAATATATTTGTGGGTTAGTGCTTACACATTTACAAGTCATAAATATTCATGCACTGAACATTGAAATTGTTAAAACTTACAGTGATCAAGAGAAGTTCTTCACAATTCCGTGATTAGTGTCCAAGAATGTATGAAAAACATGAAACATTATACATATAAACAGTGGATGCTAATTAGATTATATTATCGGCGTCGAATGCGCATAACTACGGCACTGATATGCCTGGGCAGGCGAGTAATGGCTGCGTGGCGGCAAAACACCACGCACACGTTCCCGAAAGATATTGTCTCGACCTATTCGAATACAAATCCGTTTCTGTACTTTTTCTGCATAATTTCTCCCTCAGAAATATCTGCAGAATCCAATATTGTGTGGTGAAGTGTGCTGGATAAAGAACTTTTCGTAGAAATGCAAAAATAGTGCGTAGATAGTATGCGCAGCGACTCCTTTTTAAACTTTGGCGTCCAGTTACAACCACTTAAAATTACAAAATTTAATAACTGTATACACTGATATAATTATGAAACTCTCCTCTATCTTTTAATACTTAACTAAATTATCTAGCATTTTTAGTTTTCACGTAATACGTCATTTTTATCCGAAATCGTGCGTTTTTACAGAAATTCGTACTTTTCAAATACTGAGGGTGATATAGCAATTCTGCTTGCAGATTCGTGGTTAGAACGAGAAACTCTATAAGGATCACTCAGTGGATATTGCAAAACAGAACCAAGGTTAAAATTTGTTGGACAGTGTAATCGTAACCAAAGACAATAACCCTAACACTGATCAATTTATAGCGTGCAAACATACGTTGATCCTTTCCGGGTTAGTCGCAACGGTTGCAGTAATAATTCTTTTACTGGTAGCGTATCCTAGCGTTCTCATCCCTCGATGTATTGAACCTTTCGATTTCAGCGTATTTCACGCGAGGCAATTACAATATTATAATCGTCGATTACGGTACCTTGGTACGCGAGCCCTGTCTATCGCAGATACAATGGGGTCCAGATTTCTGTTCACGATGTATTGCTCAATTGGTAAGGTACTTGAGGGATCATCCTCGGGGTACCAGGGTGGAGAATATACACGTGCTGGGATACAGCGTGGGTGCGCATATAGCTGGCCTCATCGCGAATTATTTGCCCGATGACAGACTTGGAAGGATAACAGGTAACGTGTATTATTTATACACTGCGGATGTTTATACAGTATTTATAATCTGCAATATTAATGTATAAAAATTAAAAATGGACAGGACTTTAAATCCTGTGCCAGTGGCGGCTAAAGTTCCGAAAAGCACCTACACCTGATAACCTTAACCTTGACATATGTTATCAAGATCACCCTACCGAGTAACCTTCAAAAGGTTTAAACTGCCGATCATTGGTTATTAAAAAATTATTAACAAAATAAATCCTTGAACTGTCTCTTCAGATCAAGATAAGTATAATACTTTAATGTTAATTAGAGACAGTTCGAGAAATAAAGAATTCAGGGGTGGTTAGAGACAGTTCAAGGAAAAAGGTATCATTATTATCACCGCGGATTTTTTGTGGAATTCAACGTCGAAATAAACAAGTATTTATTTTACCAGTTTGTTCTTAACTAGCTCTAACTAACTCGGATCAGTATAATCCTTTGAACAGTATTTTTTAAAGACGCTACCTAGTTCAGATATATGGGAAAGTTACGGTACGTCTTTTAATCGTTCCTTGTTAATAACGTTTTATTAACCAATGTTCGGCGGTTGAAACCTTTTAAAGGTTACTCGGTGGGGGGGGGGGAGACGACTTTGATAACGTATGTCATGGTCAGGGTCATCGGGTGTGGATGCTTTTCGGAAGTTCACCTCTAGTGGCTTTACTACGTTAATAAATTATTACTGATTACTAATATTAATACTTAAATGGTATAAAACTTTGTTAAACCCTTTATTTTAATACGTTTCGCCATTTAGGAAATGATACAAATGCATAAATATCCGCAGTCTAGTTATTTAATTGCTGCATCATTCGTGTTTCCTACAGCTGTACAAAGTAATTATATCGGACCAAATATTTTTAAATCTTTGTATTGTATATATGATTATTTTATTCATTGTTCCAAAACATTCAGTTTCTAAGTAACATAAAATTGAAACAATTAAATGAAGTGATATTATTAGTTTTGTTTTTGTAATATAACTTTAGTAAATAGAAAATTTTGGTTAAACGAGTATTTGATTATTAACTTATTTAATAAATTCTCTTGTTCTATATAATTATTTCGTACACTGTATAGAGTTCTTTCGGAAAGTTCGTATGCGTTTTGAGCACAGAGTCTTCGTTTGCATTATGTCTGAACGAAGGAAAAATCGTTCATTCTGGTAAAAAGGTAGGTACCTACTGTATTCCAGGTGTGGATTGAATGTAGGTTTGTTGTACAAGTTACATACGTCGTTTTTTGTTTTCTTTTGTGTGAGAAATACCAACGAAACGTATGAACAATCACAAAGTCAATTTTCATTACGTTCTAACGATCTTGTAAGAAAGTCACGTTATTCTTCGGTTGGAAAATTGTATAGCATCTGCGCAATTAATAAGACTTTGCGGGTCTGTGACATGCCCCGTCAGATGATTATTTCTTTAGATCGCAAGAATACTCTCTATTAAAGATAAACGTTGAAAACAATATCTATCTAAAAATAGGTTGATGAGTTTTCTTTAGCCAAAACAATTGAAGTTGTATACAATTGGTACAACGAAATTAATTGAAAAATGGAAAGAAATTGTAAAAAGGAACAGTAAGTAAGGATATGATATGAATTGAAAAATATAGATTGTAACTGTACTCTTAAAAACGCTACGAACTTTCTGAACAATCCAATACATTACAGGGTTACGCTATTTCGATCGGATCGAAAAAAACAGTACTGCCACGAATTCTTTACAGGGAATGCATGCATTTCAAGTGAAAAGATCTATTTACCAAATGCGGAGGGTTTCACGAACGTTATAAATCATTGTTTGAATGTTTACATTTATTCGTGATTGTTAGTGATCCTTATTTTCTTAATATTTTCTATCATATGCTGTGAAGGTATTTTCAATTCAATAAATTATAGAAACCTTCGTTTAAAAAAAAAAACAATTTTATAGTTGAACTATTTACTAATCCTGGCTTTTGAAATATTTATAACATGAATTAAATATTGTTAATAATGTGTGTACTAGATTTCATAAAAATTGATGAAATCATTTCTAAGTAATTCTGCGTTTTGGAATCTCTTCATATCTTTGTTATTCAAATGAATTTCGCAATGAAACCTTTCGCACATTATTTTCAATGGTTCAACTTAATACTTTATGAACACTAATTTGTTGATGTTTTGAAACTACATACTGGGTCGCGTAATTCCTTAAACATATCACGAATATTAACAAAGCTGTTATCTGACTCATAGGATATTAGAGCAGGTAGGATACTAAAATATTTTCTGGGCTATCCTAACATTATACCCAATTCTGTTTTTACACAAACTTTTTGTACACGATTTCGATTTAACACGAATTAGAACAAAATATTTGTTTTCTTTTTACATGGCCTGCTTTCATTTAACATGATCGACCCAAATTGTAAAAAAGAAATTTTTGAGGAAAAGTCTTGAATGAAGTATTGAAGTGTAAATTGAGTAATCCTTTTGTCAAACATGATCCTAATGAGGAATGAGCGGGAAAGTTTAGCCAAAATAGAAACACAAGGATTAACAACTGAATTCGTTTTTAAAATCTATAAAACATCCGCTCCGTAGAGGTAGTGCTAATTTTGTTCAAGAGATCACTGAAAGAATTTCACCAATGGAGTAATTAAACGATGACCAAGATATTTTTTTTCTTTCCATGTGATAATTTACTTTATATAATGCATTTACATATACATGTAGAATGTTTATAAAATAAAAAGTGGGAACATGTAAAAATAATAAGATTCTAACTTGAATTTTTATATGATTTATTGCATTATTCATGCTGATTTTTTCGGTCTAGAACCAATCTTCTACTTTCCTATATACATATACAGTATATTTTTTACACGAATCTTTTTTACATGCATTCTTCGAGAACGCATCTATCGTATAAAATCAGAATTGGGTGTATTTTTAAAAATTCATTTATCTAATTTTTTTTCTACAGCTTTACCATCCGCTATTTCCATTTTTTGCAACTTGTTTTCCATCGAACCTTTCGTAAAATAGGTCGTTCTCCTTCATGTTGCAATTATTTTCCATAAAAGGTGACACCAACCACGGTGCATGTTACTATGAACGGCGGTCTAACGTAAAACCGATTCTCCTTGTTTGTTGTGGACAGGACTCGATCCGACTATATTTTTCTACATGAACGGAAACCGGTCGATGGATTTAGACGAAACGGATGCGCATTTTGTCGACGTGATCCACACCGGTGCCGGTATTTTGGGCCAATGGGGGCCAACAGGACACGCCGATTTCTACGTGAACGGAGGCTCGAGCCAACCTGGATGCGCGACTACTTCTCTGCTCCGTAAGTAGAATATTCACCATGGTTTTCACACTTTCTGGACGCCTGATAGAAACTCGTTAGATTTTATAGATTTTGCATACTATAGCAAAATCCTCGATTAGTGTACGCGGCTGAAACGAACATACGTTATCGGTGCGCAAAAATTGATCACCTTGGAAAATTTAAATCTGGAGAGGAGTGAAATAAATGAAAAATGTTACAATCGTATCTTATTTTTGGGGCCTTTATTTGTAAGAAAAAAATTATTTTTACAAACTTTTGTCATATTTTGCTTCTATTCTCTGCGGCTGCAGTAACTTGTGGACGAAAAAAGGGGCCTCCGTCCCAAAAATTGAATTACGATCTTATAAAATGGTGTTGCAGCAATGGGCCATCGAGTCAAAATTGTGAATTTGTGAAAAATAAGAAAATTATGCCATTTTGAATGAAACGTTACTTTTTCGTCTGACATTTCGATCTTTAAATAGTAAAAAGAAAATATTAACAATTAAAAATTTGAAGAAATGGCTCGATAGTTCTGAGAGAATGTTATTCTACGTAGATCAGCGCAAAGTTCATGAAAAAACGTTGAAAATTGCAGAAGTTATCAACGCTGGTAAATTTGTAAAATGTAGTTTCGAGAGAAACGCGTTTGAAGTTAAAATACGCAAAATACTGATAGAAAATATTTTATCGCAACTTACACTTAATCTGCCATTCCAGTAGCATCCTGTGGACCTTCCTTTTTCTCAGTTTGTTTCTTCTTCGAATTGCTGCTCAATCTGCGAACAGTACTGACCTTTTTGGTAGCTTGCGCCGTTGCGATCCTCGCATGTTTTAGTTTGTTGGCGTCCTCTTTTCCACAATAATTATGTAAATCGAAGCCAATTTTACACCCCGATAGACGTAACATTTACATATATGCGACTGCACTATCGTTGAACATGCTGGTAGCAATATCAGTTACTATTTGAACTATTTCCGAGGGTGCAACCGATTGTTGACCAAATGTTGAAACTTATTATCTATTGTCAAGAATATTTGAAATGAAGAAAACGCTTAAAAGAAACAAGCTACAAAGCGACTCGTATACTACTGTAAGTAATTTTTGATAAAAAGACGGAATTTCTACGTTAATGCTGCGTTCGATTTCCTACGACACGTGCACGCTCTCACATTATACCAAATATCTTCTTTAAATATTGAGATATTGCTGTAATTCTTTTTCCCCAGTATTCTACACATTTCGAAAAAATTCGATTTTTTTAATGTTGTGAACGTATGTAATCTCTTAAAAAATTCAAGCTCTACTAGTGTGCTAAATCTCCTTAAAAAGTCAGCGCCACACTTGGGGATCTCTCCTTGTCAGCGTCGAGGAGCCTTCGAACATTCATCGAGGATTTAGTGTACGCAGTAAAGTCCAAAAGTTCTCGGCCTCTCCTATTTTGCGCATGTATGGAAAAATTTGAATAAGAAGAATATGAAGCCTAATATTACAAACAACACCACCATCGGTTTCATTTTTATGCGTTCAGTCTTTTATTTGTAAATGCAGTGTAAATGTACCCGCCACGCGCTATGTCAAATTTAGAGTACTGTGCTGTTATAAAATTCTTAACAAACAAAGGTAGTATGTCAATGGAAATTCACGAACGCTTTCGTAAAATATACGGCGATGCTTTGTCTTCATATTCAACTGTAAAGTAATGGGTAAGATTATTTAAAATGGGAAGAGAATCTTTCGAAGACGACCCACACAGCGGCTGCCCCATCCAAAGAATATTTTGGGATTACGATGGCATATTGCTGATCGATATCAAATAGGAAAATGCGACGGCAAAAACAGAACACTACGTCTGAATTATTAAAGAAAAAAGGAGGGGTAAATTTTTGAAAGGAGTACCGCGTTCTTCCTGACAACGCATACGTCCACACTGTTTACGTATGTAGTGAAGATTGAAGACTGTTACCTTACTTTTGATCGAAATCTTTGTCTTCGCGTATCATCAGTAGACTGCCGATTATACATATACATTTATAGCATATACGACTATGTGAAGTACGATAAATGGTAAAGTTACCATCAGAATTAATACATTGATCGTCATATTCTTGTCATAATGAAATCCTTACGAAATGAAAGAAAATCCAATGTTCCCATCGGTCTTTACAAATCACTTCGAGAAATATTATTTTGCATAAAATTCGGCAGACCAGTCATCAGTGACATATAACTTTTCTTCGTTTCGAAATAAAAACACTGTTCCTGGAACCTCCAGAACTTCGGAACAGCTTAATATAATATATTATGGGCAATAAAGACATGACAAAAAAGAAACATACTTTGATCTGTATTGTATGAATCGCAAAAACTTACGAATACGAAGAAAATTGTTCATATTCTGGTAAAGTGACTTTGTATATTTTGGATATTTTAATTTCTTCGAATATTGTATGACCGCCGAAAATCTTAAATATTTAATGAATTTACTTTTGTTAATTTAATTTGTAAATGAGAGTAATATTTTTTGTAGAACGCTTTTTATCTTGAAAAAACCTGTTTTCTCTACTTCTACGAGAGCACGAGGTTCATGAATATTTTATGTACCAACAAATGAAAATATTACAAAAGCAGCTGTGTATGTAGTTATGTAGTTACCAAGAACGAAAACGCTTTATGGAACAGATGGTTGACTGTGAATGAAATCAGTGGAACGTATCCTTCACAGAGACTTTGTCATGCGACCACACAAAGGTGACGCCTTATTACATAGAATCAATCACGACGAAAGTAGGATTCTGGGCAGCCCCGTGTGGAAATCTTTTTTCCTACTTGATCGGATGGTGCAAACCCAAACAGGAGGAGTACATTCTAATGGGAGAAGACACCCCTCATACGTGAGTACCTTTTTTTTAACTATTAAAACGAATAATTTTATTTATAAGCAACACATTGGATTTCTGCGACAAGTGGAATCGAGCGAATTTGAACGATTTTATTCGACATATTCTTATACCTTATTCGCTTGAACCAATTTTCTGTAAGATCTGGTGCTTGAAAATATCTATCTACCGAAATATCGGCTACTCTAATCCTAGCTGACACGTCACTTTCTAATAGAGCGATCGAAATTTTTCGAAGGTATAAAGAGTTACTGGATTCAGGTCGGATCGGGTTTGGGTAGAGGTGGATCCATTAAACCCGTTATGATTAAACCCTATTGACGTTCAAACAACAATTTTTCAAATGATGTTCACGTTTTGTATTAACAATCATTGAAAGTAATTTCTTTCTGAAGTGATATATTCTTCATGATAATTATACGAATACGGGAAATAGCTCTGACACAATTGTTCTTCAAGATGACGGAGAAAGTAGCCGTCGAAGTCCTGTGAATGTCAAAATCATTTTAGATTGTCGTTTCTTGGTCTTCATTTCCATTTTTCGCAACAAGAATTAGTTTGATATAGCTGAATTAGACGAATGCAATGGACAATCAAACTGTTTAGATACCTTTCGAGACCAAAACATTGCGTAAACTTGATTTGCGAAGCCAAAAGTTTCGACCGTCATCCTTTCCGTCATCTTGAAGAAGAATTATCAGAGCCATTTCTACAGTTTCTATAATTATTCGGAATAGTATATTTCATCAAAAGAAAATTATTTTTAATTATTTTAATGATGAGAGACAGTATCATTTTACGGAGAATTGCTGTTTTAATTTTAATTCGGAGAGTCATGGCACAGATCCATTATTTCATGAAAAAGATTTAAATTTGAGAATGCTTATCGTAAGTACACTCGCTCTAAATCTGTTTTACGAACATTCGGTTACGATTTACGAGTTTAAAAGAATAGGAACGTTGATATAGTGTAAATAAAAGAAAAATATCCGTTAAAATTGTGTCACAACTGCATCTTACGAAATAACGCAAAAACTTTAAAGTTGTCTGATATAAGTTGAACTATATAAAAAGAAGCGTGTATATTTGGAAACAATTTACAATTGAATCGGAAATTAGTATTGAATATAGTGAAAATTTTCAGAGCACGAGGCATCTACTATCTATCAACAAACGGACACAAACCGTACGCCCGCGGTCTACCCGAAAAAAGTCAGCGAACGACAAGCCGGAAGCGATCGTCCTACCGCCAGTATTGAGCTTACTAAAGCAACTAATCAACATAATTTTAGAATAACGTATCTGTAATTAGCAGTAAAACATTATATGTTACGTTTGACTCTGTTATTTCGTTTGTACATTTATTTTTAATTAGTTTTTACGTAATAAACTATTTTGCTACGCAGTCTACCGCGAACCCTTGCATCCCATCGGTCGCGACTGACGGTAACGATTAATTTGCTCATTGCGTATTGAGCTATGCCATTGTGATCTAAGAACTTTCATATTTTTCATCGTGACAATTTCACGGAATTGTACACCGATTCGCAGCAACGTAACAGTACCATCCGCTCTTCGTAATTTTACGTCGTTTACTGTGAAGATACTAATCCTACATTCTGTAATGTCTTTCGCTATTGCATAATATTGTCTGTTAAATGAACGCAAAAGGAACATTAACGATTCATGCGAATGTAGGGATATATTGTTGCGACTCCGTGACTCTTTGTTACTCACAATTAATTTTGTACAAAGAGTAGGTGGAATAAAACGTGTAAATGTTTCACTCTTTGTTGCCTTGCACTTTAAGTTTAATACGGCACAAAATATACTTATTACAATTCAAATAAATAATACGCGAACAATAAACGAGTAAACAATTAGGCAGCGTTTCCTAGATTACCGCGCTGAGAGTATAATACGGAGTAGCCCGGTGATTCAGTCGAACCGGCAAAGTAAATGCGTCGTAAAGAGCACAGTAATGATAGGCGGTGGACGTGCGAATAATTGGATTACCGTTCGATTAACGGTAATCTGGGTCAATTGTTAGGCCAAAAGTCACGTAGGCACCTCGTATGACAACAGCCCGCGAGTGCGACAAGGATAGACGCTTGTCGCACAAAGAGACGCGTCAGTGAGACAAGGACGGTGTGTTAATCATGCGAAGCAAACTACAGATAGTGATGGGTAGTCGAGCCGAGCAGCTCGAGCTGTATCAGAAGCTTTCAATTCACCGGCTCGGCTCGGCTGGGACAGTTTTATAAGGTGACAGCGGAAAACCGAGGCTCCGGCACTCGAAGCCTCGGCGTGTAGAGATGTTAACGTAACATACAGACCAAATCACCCATCAATAAAAATTTAAACTGTTACTCCTTTCAGTGTACTTTCTTAAAAATGTTATGAATAAATGTAGGAGATTCTCCTGATGAAAATAAGTCCAAACCCGACATAAATCGGAATATATTTAATAACAATATAATTCGTATCGCAATATAACGCGTGAGTAAGCATTTAAACTTTTACTCCTTTCAGTGTATTTTCGTAAAAATGTTATGAATAAATGTAGGAGATTCTCCTGATGAAAATAAGTCCAAACCCGAAATAAGTCGAACTATATTTAATAACATGTTATGATAAATTTACACGTTATTAATACATTGAACATTAAAACGTACATAAATATAATACAATCGCTCGCGTACATTTCAGGATTTCATAAGATTATTTTTTTAACAAAATTTTTAAATTCAATTATAATTATAGAAGTAAGTAGGACTTCTCCTTTTATGTATACATATTATGTATACATAGACTAGGTGACTGATTAAGTGAGTGAAGAAATAGCAGTGGTGGAGAAAAACGCTAAGGCAAGTGATATTTGTAGTACAATAGCATGTGGATAAGTATTTACCGTTTCGCGCCGACGCACTTATCTCAAAATATGCTCGTTGTGAATGAAAAGAGTTGCTGACACACGGATGTCTTATGTCCAAAGTAAGAAAAAAAATGTAATATAGTATATGTAATTTAATGATACCGAGTGCTCTTCTAATGACGATAAAAAATTCAAAACATTTTTCAGTTATAATAAAAAATCGCATTGCATAATTACATATATAAATAATTACATATACAATCAAATGTAAGATGTTTGTAACCACTTTTCACAAGATATCATCAGCAACAAAATAATTGAGTTTCAAGGAATAAATGGAACATTACATCAGATCTCGATTCTCTGTTGTTTCAAACATCTAATACTATATGAGCATAGTAAAATAATGCACGAGTGGCACCAACTTGAATACTCAAAAGTAGTTTTTCATTATCGAATGCTTGCAAGTTAGAATACTGCAAGAATACTAAGAATTTTTATACAAATGATGAGACATAAGTAAAATAAACAATTACTTTTACTTCAACGAAAAGGCAAAACTGTGATCAATTATCTCACCTGTTCCTGTTCCCTTACTGTTGCGAATCGAACTATATTAGTAATACTGAAAATAGTCCGATTTATGTCGGGTTTGGACTTATTTTCATCCGGAGAATCTCCTACATTTATTCATAACATTTCTAAGAAAGTACACTGAAAGGAGTAAATATTTAAATTTTTATTCATGGGGATTCGTTCTGTGTGTACATTGTATCCAGAGCATCGGTCGCCGGCGGCTTATCTTATAGGGCAGGGGATAACATCACATCTCGCCTTGCCAAGGCCCGTTGCCAGCGTTTCTTAAGCTAGCACGATGATGTCACCGGTATCGATACGGCTCCAGCCGAGTCGAGCTTTCCCTCCTAAAGCTCGGCTCGGCTTGAGCCGTATCGATTACCCCATCAATACCTATAGATGGCCTAGGTGACGGTAACGTGAGGACGTAGCCGCGCGAGCCGGTAATCGCCGAATTCGGTCGACGATTACCGAAGACGCTGCGTACGTGCGAGTCACGTTTCGCGGACAACAGCTGGCGGTGCTGACGTCACGACGGCCTCTCGCGAAATCCTGAACAAATTTATTTACCATTAATAGCAATAACAACGATGCATCAGTGATAATAATATAAATAAGTAGTTAACCTGATCGTTTAGGACTCCAACATCCGGAGACGTCTATCTTCAATCGGAGCTTCCGGGAACACTCGATCCTATTAAATCGATATTCTTGATGCCGCTGAAGATCGATTGTCTTCTCGATTTTGTAATGCGAGTAGGATACTTGAACTGCCACTTGGTCCCGCTCGAGCACGTTGCAGGACGGGCAAGTGACGTACAGCAGCGGGCTACTGTGGAGGGGATGCGAGACAGGAAACGTCAGTTGTGCATGAAGTGAGTTATAGATACGCACTCTCCCTCACACATTTCCCTATTTCCCTCACCACTGCTATGTGCCCGCACGCTGCACGCCGTTGACCGCCAGTGAGTTTGGTGGGTACTGAGTTGCCCATCACTGTTATACGGGGTGTTATGTGACTGATGGTACGACTGACTAGTGCAATATTCTACGTGAAACAAATAAGTCAGAAATATAGAATACAATTATTTCATTTGAGACTTCGTTTTTTGGAAAATCGACTTTAAAAATTGAACAGAATGCAATGAACAGACACGCTAGCCAAGTCTTATTTTATATGCACGCGTATGCAACAGACTTTTAAAGTCGATTTTCCTGAAAGGAAGTCTGAAATGACAAAAATTTTATTCCATATTTTCAGCTTATTTTTTCATGTAGCATCACCCCCTACCTGGTTGTACTACGTAACATCCCAAATAGCACAAAAACGTCCTATGAACGTCCGATGGACGTACGTTCCGGACGTTCTGTACATTCGGAGGATGTCCCGAAAATGTCCATATGTCCCCGTTAGGTCCTGGTTAAGATCTTTAAATGTCCTAGGAAGGTCCTATTTGCAAAGTGGAACGTTCTGAGGACATCCTGTGTCAACATTCTCAGAACGTTTCCCGAATGTGTAACAGTAACATTCCCTATACGTTTTGGGAACGTTTAAAGAGATTTTAAAAATGCTATGGTAATGTCTTAAAAGACGTATAAGAAACATTTCCCATATGTTTAAAATTACGGTTGGGTTTCATTCTGTGCAAGGTGACATGAGTTAGGTTAGGTGAGTTTGTGTTTAACAAATAAGAGATTAACTTTCCTGCGATTTCCGCACTTAGTAGAAATTAAATCTAGTTAGTTCTTGTTAATAAATAAGGTTAAATTTCTTGTAAGGAATTATAATGAAAATATAGATCTGGGGATTATGATCTCCAAGTACATTGTGTTTATTTCTATTTTCACAGCAAAACTCTGATTCTGTGTTGGTTAGAGAGAGTTTAAGAAAAAACATGTTTTTTCAAGTTTCTTGAGGTTTTCGCACAAAACCATTAGTGTCGTTACACTTCTCTATTGATTCTTTAAAGACTGACACCTTGTTCATGGGGTTCCATTACTTTGCACGGAATGACATTGGCAAAAATACTAAACGAAACCATCCAAAATTTAAGTCTTAACAACATCCGTAAGAGGGACGGACGTTTCTAGAACATCCGAAATTTAAGTCTTACGAACGTCCTAGGGATGTCCAAAATGGACATAGGACATTCAGATATAAACTGGACATGAAACGGACGTCCGTAGGATGTACGGTGTTATTTGGGATGACACTCTGTATACCATATTTACAATTAAGTTTTACTTAAGATTACCATTGTATTCAGCAATTCAAAATCAAGTCAATGATATTAGTTTCACTTTATCATTTTAGAATTTTCAAACTTTTGTTGAGCAGTATTATTAAAAATTAACTACGATTGAATAAAATGCATTGTTTGAGGATAATTTTAAATTATAACGTACCACGAGGATATAAGTATGAAATCTTTTGTACGTACAAGAACACCTACTATATATTATCTCATGACAATACAAGCGTTTGCAACAGTATAATAGAAAATGTTTATTATTATATAGTCAATAAATAGAGACAAAATAATAAGTTGATTTAGAGATAGGTTATTTGCTTTCAACGAAACTGACTTTCCATGAAATAAGAAATCTTTTATTTTGTTAAGTATTTACATTACTTTTATTATAAGTTTGGTATGGATCGACGTTACCTGTTTTCCTTACGTGATCTACGTATGTTTTAAGTTCTTTAGAGACGGAGAGGAATATTTGTGTGCATATTCCGAGGGGTTGCAAGTGTTTACAAGTGTAATGATATTACTGTATTGTATTTCCATGCTCCTCTTCTCATTA